AGAGGGAGAGAGGGAGAGAGGGAGAGAGGGAAGGCGCTAGAGCACCTTGTTCTTTTCTGGTATTTTTCTTCTATGACATTTCCTTCCAGATAAGTCCAGGTCCTCTTTTGCATGGTCTTTAATTGCACCTTCATTATAAGATCTTGCAGATGCTTACATGGGTTTAAGGGATGAAGAGAGACTACTTGGAAAAGAAATCCACCAGCTTCCTAAAAAGCTAAAACAATTTTTTACTTTATTTACCTTTACTAACCATTACCCAGTTTAGTAAATCTGTGTGCTGGAAATAGTTGGCAGCTAGAACAATCTTTGGGAAAGTTTTGTATGCACTTTTTCTTCTCTCACCATTTCTTTAGCTCCGGGCTTTCACATGCCGCAGCAAATTCAAAGTTCAAAAGGGGCAAAAGTAGGTATTCTATCCACAAATTGTGCAGTATGTTTCAAGATGAAAATTTAATTATCTCAAACAGAGGTAAGATTGCCACTCTTTGCAAGAGATTGCATTTGCAAGAGAGAATGTGACCACAGTTCAAAAATAGTCCTGCACACCATGAGCACAGGTCCCTCCTCCAACTTATACCAGGTAATGAAGCATCTGGCAGTACATTCAGTAAAGAAGGCTGCCAATTCTCTTGTGCCATGTTCATCAGTTACACTACACATCCATGTGCACTGAGAGCACATTTCCAACTAAACTTCACATCTTGCTTTGAAAAAAAACCACTGGCTAAGTAGCAGTAGAAACAATGACTATGCATTTCCGGCATTTCTGCACAGAAGATCAACTGAGGAAGCCACTAGAATGGAGAGGAAGCAGACAGCAGTTTGGAGAAGCGAGTCAGAACAAGAGAGAGCATCAGAAAGGAATCAAGTCTTCGTTGTGAATATGTGCAAAATACTTTCATTATGCTATCATTATTACAGGTAAATATTTCAAGTCTAACAAATACGTATACCTGACACTCGCATCTCAATAAAGGGCTTTCCTATAACCAATATGCATTTAGTCCTCATTTCTGCAACACTTTCAACTGAATTATTTGATGTTGGATCTGGAACTGCTCATCCTAAGAGTCTGACCATCAAACTCCTGAGGACAATTGAACTGGGACTGGGACAAGCTGGAGAAGTGGGCCCAGGTGAACCTTATGAGGTTCAACAAGGCCAAGTGCAGGGTCCAGCACTTGGGTCAGAACAATCCTCATTACCAATACAAGCTAGGAGATGATGTGCTGGAAAGCAGTCTTGAGGAAAAGGACTTGGGGGTACTAGTAGATGAGAAGCCAGACATGAGCCACCAATGCGCATCTGCAGCCCAGAAGGCCAAACACATCCTGAGCTGCATCAAAAGAAGTGAGGCCAGCAGATCGAGGGAGGTGATTCTGCCCCTCTACTCTGCTCTGGTGAGACCTCACCTGGAGTACTGTGTCCAGCTTTGGAGTCCCCAGCACAAAAAGGGCATCAAACTGCTGGAGCAGGTCCAGAGGAGGGTCACAAAGATGATCAAAGGGCTGGAGCACCTCTCCTACAAAGATAGGCTGAGATTGTTGGGGTTGTTCAGCCTAGAGAAAAGGAGGCTCCAGGGGTTCCTTATAGTGACCTTCCAATACCTGAAAGGTGCCTGTAAGAAATCTGGGGAAGAACTGTTTACAAGGTAATGCAGCGATAGGACGAGGGTTAATGGTTTTAAACTAGAAAAGGGTAAATTTAGGTTGGATATCAGGAAAAAGTTCTTCAATATGAGGGTGACAGATCACTGACAGATCCAACCCAAATCATTCTGTGATTCATTCATTCTATAATTCTATTATTCAATTGATCCACTTGGAAAATACTTTCTTTATAGTGTCCTGTATTGTGCATTCCTTTTCACAACTACTCTTATTTAGCAGTACCAAGGCCACTTAAACAATGGAAAGACACAGAACCAAAAATTGTAGTTAGTGGAAACAAAAAACAGATTTCATTTGGGTTAGTAAGGTGATTTCTGGAATCTGCAGATTCTCAGGTGTGTTTTGAGTTTCCATTTCCATCTTCGCTAACTGTGACGCTGTCACAGTGAACACCACTAGTTCGTTGGAACTACTTTATTTTAAGCGAAAAGCATTTTTCTGTTATTATTGGTACTATAATGCTAGTGGTGTACAAATACAAGCAGCATATGTACAGAGAACCCAGACATTAAGAAGAAGCAACTGAAACGCACTTACCTTTATTTCAAACTCATAGTGTTCATCCTTTCCCTGCCCACACAAGACATAGCGTGGAATACTAATTTTAATTGGGTCCTTTAGGTCATCTGGATTTGCTCCCAGAGAACGACAGACCATCCGCTTTCATGTGCATACCAAATAGGGAGAACAAAGGAAAACCAAAATCACTATATAAGGAAAAAAGAAAAGAACTTCACTAAAAATGAAAAAGTGTTCTTGGCCAGAAGAGCAGGGAAGGAGAACATAGAAGAGGTAGAAATTATTTTAAAGCTGAAGGAACTACTTGAAAACAAAGTGGATCTCCTTTTATAAGTAAGCCCTTGCATATTGTTATGCATGAAAAAATTGAGGTGAATTGTCTTCAAAAACATTGCTTGTTCTTTGAAAAGGCATTTTCAGCTTAAATAGCAAAAACAAGCAAAAGCAGAAAACTTTGTATTAACCCTCTTTGAAAAAAAAAATATGAATCAAGCCTTCACAGTCAGCCATAATTTTTTGTCTTTATAACAAACCTGTTCACAATATCATGCAAAGCTGTAAAAGATCTAGACAACTCAGAAACTGCCTAGATCTTAGACTTTTAAATGGAAAAATAATTTTATAGTTAAAGTATTGATAACATAATAATCCACTGTCAGAATAGTTTCCTACTATTTTCTTTAAATCACATCTAATTAACAGAAAATGCAACTAGGATAAATTTGCATGGTGTAGACAAAAAGTTCTACAAAGGTATTTGTAGTGAGGACACATTCCTCTGACTAATAGCCAGATGAAATTTGTAACTCTGAAGTTATGTCAAAAATAAAATATTTTTGCAACTGAAAAGATTAATGATTTGCAATGAGTGTGTCCAAATTAGCATAAGTATTTACAGTAAGTACAAAAAATGCCTTTTAGGAAGTCCTCCACTTTCACAATTAAATGTATTTGGTCTGAAAAGCATAGTGAACCAGTGCTTAAAAAAACAAACAAACAAACAAAAAAACCCCACTAAACAAAAAAACCACACAAACCATGTCCCGCACTCCCCAAAAAACCCAAAAGAGCACTATGACAAATATAAATTAACAGTAACAAAAAAGATTGAAAAATTATCACTTTAAATTTATGACCATGTTATATATTCGTATTTAGTGGTGCTGTCCATCACTTACATAGGTACTGCATTCTCAACATTCATTTTCAATCCCTTAGCAACTACCATAAGACTTATTGCTTGGTTAGAATTCTTCAGTCTTGACCAACACTATACCCACATTTGTTCATTGACACTTGGTCTCTCTGTAGCAACTCTTGGTGACTCCCAGTACATGATACTGTGTAGGAGCTAGAGAAAAGTTTGAAAGTAATTCATAAATGCCTATCTGAATGCTGCTTGTTTTAAGTTAAACTTACTCTGTCCTTCAGGCAGTATCCCTAGTTGCTAACTATTCATTTGACAGCATGAGAAACATGTTTGCAGGTCATAAACCCCAAGATGCTTATCTTACCACAGTTAAGGTGACATGACCAAAGGTCAAAATGCTATTTAAAGCACAACCAACACCTGTTTACACTTTAACCAGCTCCATTTTCACATCACATTTTCCTCAAACACTCACATCAAGGGAATTTAAAGACTTACTCTACTGCAGGGAAGTACAAGTTATCTATTTTGACAAATGTACAGGAATGACTCAAAGCCATGCATTCCTTCTCTGAAAGAAAAGGAAAGGAGAGGGAAATCTAAAAGGAGTATTGGGGTGTCCTCTACATTTTCCTTGTTCTATTTCACTACTTCCACATAGCCTACACTCTCTTAGCTCTCAGCAAAGGGGGCAAACCCAGGAAAACAGAAATATGGCAAATCCATCAGTCTCTGGTATCTCAGGCAACACAGCTTAGAATAAGCCAAACAACACCTTTTGTAATTGTGACAAACCTTAATGCAAGTGTGCAATAATCCTTAATGCAAAACTCCAAAGCAAAAGAGAATTGTCAGTACTATTCTTCCCAGTATAAAAGCTATAAATATCCTTAGTATTAAGAGTATGTAGTGAATATACTATAGGAACCTAAACACACCTTAAACTTCAGGCAAATAAGAAATTGCAGATGTTTTTAAATATTGAGATCAAGGGTGAGAAACAGATGACAAGAATGAAAAACCAAGATACTCAGAAACATTAAGGAAAAAGCAATCAAGGAGGAATGGTGAAGACATTAAAGACAGACAGAAAATGGAGGGAGCCAGAAACAACAGCTGAAATGGAAATCAGAAGACACAGCTGTAATTATATTTTTTGATCCACCTACCATATAACATAGAAACATTTAAATTTCCTAACCTTCCCAAGTAGATGTAAGTATAGCATATAAAAGACTCACAAAAAATAAGCACTCAAGTAACAATGATTTTTGCAATTTTATCAATATTAATTCGCCTACTATTTTGAATGTATCTAAATGTATTTGGATTTCAACACCTAGTCAAATGCACAATTAGCCAAATGGCTTCTTCTCTTGAACTGAATGTTAATTTCCACATTTCCAAAGGGATATGCAAACTGTTCTGAAGAACTGATGGGATGACTGTCAGTTGAGTATTTATTTCTTTTTCACAGAATTGAGAAAAATCAATTCCTGAATCAGATCCAATCTTGCTACTTCTAGAAAACACAAGATCAATTTTTGTGAAATTCTCTTTGTCTGGCAAAACTACACATCGGATATCATTCAAACTGTACAACTGAAGGTTGTCAAATCGTGATCACTGGCATGAAGCATCCAAAACATTAGGTGCAACATAGAAGACATTATTCTCCCTTAGGAGACCTATATGAGTTGTTGTAAGAACAAGAGTTCTGTACACAGTCTGCTTAGCACAGTTTGCTTTCACTGAGGTACACAGCAGTACCTGAATGTCACCTCATGAAGGTTTAATACCTTCCATATTTTCATGGAGTAAGTAAACCAGATCAGCTAATTCAGTTCTAAATTTACAGGACAATCATACTCCATTTGAAAAAACTAAGTCATTTGCTTCTGATGTCCAGTCAAGTGAAATCTGCATCAAATCCATCTTTCAAGAGCCGGTGATTTAAATAAACAGCATCATCTGTTGCAGAAATCAAAACACTCATCACATCATGGCAGATTCTTTGAGTGAACTGTTGGTTATAGGTAAATATTGTGAGTAAACCACCTTCAGCAGAACACAGAAGACCAATATTCTGTCCAGCAAAGCCAACTTGAATCTCCTTTATCGTGACAATGGGAACCTCATGAAACATTGCCAAAGAATTCTGACAGACATCATGTTTGACTGATGAAATGACAACAGAGAATGGAGCTGAACAAAAGCAAACAAGCAGGTTCTGGATCAGGTTTTTTGCAACTGCCAACAGCAAGCCAATATATACCTTTTAACTCCTCCTTTCTAATATAAATTTGAGGTAAGGCACAGGTCAAAAATTCCAGCGCTTTTTTCAGAGAACAGAACTGAAGCTTCAAAAAGACATCAGGAAAATGCACAAATTTCTGTCTTAACACAAGGCTGTTTTCCAGCTCTTCATTTTTACAACAGTATGTCAATCCTTCAGAGGGTTCTCTCGCACAGGCGTCAGAGCTTCCTTGTGCTTATACACACTGTAATAGCCTCTTGCACAGGGGATTCAGGCTGAATGGCATTGTCAGTATGAGCTTTGGTGTCATCAGTAGAATGGGACGTGTCTTGATTCACATCTGACTTGACTACTAACATTTATTTGAAAGTTTCTTATAAATGGCAGGTTTTTTATTAATGATACAGCTTGTGCACACCTCTCGCTTCTGTCACACAAACTTCCCAACTCTTCAATTTGTTTAGAAACCACCATACAGTTGAATAGCTGACTAGTGGTACCTCTGTAAAGGCAGGAAAGCTTACTGAAAAGATAACCCAAACCGTTAAGTGTGTTCTGGTCTCACATCAAAATGAGAAGCTATTGACTTAAAAGAAATCATATCAGAGGCTTTTTGTGTTGGAAGCTGAGAATTACTAGACTGGACTTCAACTGTCTTAAATGGGCTGTTTTCTTTACAAGTTATTACTTCAGAATGCACATTAGACTGAGAAAAGAGAAGATATGATATGCTGCTAAGACCAGCCTACTCATTAGCATCCATTAAGGATCCAACAGGAGACAGCTGATTCAAGAAAGAACAATCAGATTCAGTTCTTGAGCTGTCAAAATTCAGAGAATTAATTATTTTATTGTCAAAATGACTGAAATTTTCAACCTTGCAGAGCGAATAAGCCACATTATTCAAGTCATGACTTTGTGAAGAAATAGATAAAACATTCTGATAAGGAACATTCTTACTTTTTAAAGTATTGATATTTTTAGAGTGAATGAAACTACTTTCAATGTCACAATGACAAACAAAACTCTCCTGTTCTGAATTACTCCTTTCATTCTCAAATGCCTTCTCTGATGTAAAAGGGGAGGAGATTCTTCCAGAACTGGAAAATAAATCCCATATCTCTGCATATTCCTTTTGTCTTTTATGGTCTCTTACTCCTGTGTTTTCTCCACGCAACTCAGAAGCACAAATGTCATCTTTAGACATAAGCCATATGGAAAGCCATAGTGTGGCTGCCACTGTTGAGTTTTCTGTTAAAAATTTCAAAAGAAAATAGAAGTGTCTTTATAAAACCTTCTGATTTCAACATTTCTTAAATTGAGTATTGATTGTGATTAGGTTTGTACAATCACTCAAAATTTGTATGACCATTTAACAATCTCTCAAAATTAAACAAAATCCAACAGAAGTGATAGAGGTCTGACTTAGAAATGGTTGATCTTCCCAGCCCACCACTGCTTTTTCCTAGGCCTCAATTTAAAAATACACATATGAGTCCTTCAAGACATATGCAAATTTGCCCAATGCTACTTACTAATATTATATAGTATTGTATTGAGTATACAGTATTGAGTTCATTGTGAGACAAAAATGTGAAGTGGTATTCTGAATTCAGATATCTTTCCTCATTAAATGCTTTTATCCTCTAAAAATCAGGAAAGGGATACTGTTCCAAATTAAGAATCATGAGAAAACAAGGAAGAAACATCCACAATAACACCACACTTTTCAAATAAGGAAAAAGATTTGCCCAATCTGAAAAAAAATCCCTTTAACTCCAGCTGGCAAAATACATTGCTGTCTCTGTTAGTTATTAATCTTGCTGTGAATTCAAAGTTTTAATTATGCAGCTAAATATTAAAGAATTTAATTACAGGGCATGCCATAATAAAAGACAATCATTTTATTCCGACAAATTATGACCTACCTCATACTTCAGCTTGCGTTGAACAGTGCCATTATTAAGCCTCTCATTCTCCTAAAAAGACAAAAAGGTACAGGTGACTATTAAAGAGTGCCTTTCTTGTATAAGTTCATTTAAAAGTATATATGGGAAGATAAATTATTTTTAGTAGCTAAGACAAACTATTTTCTTATTGATATTTTTTAAACCACTGGCTTAGAAATTAATCAACCCAGTTTTTGGATTAATGAGATCACCAGTTTTTAAATGAGCATTTGTTTGCAAGTATAAACAATTACCATTCTTATGGGTGGAATTGTATCAATGTATTTTACAGACATAAAATGAAGATTTTTATTTTATCTGCACGCTTTCTATTAACACTCCTCCCCACAAAAAAAAAAAAAGGAATATAACATAAAGCAGCCACTGGGAAAAAAAAAACAAGCAAGCAAAATCTAAAACCAATATTCCTAACTTACTTTTTTGGTAAAGTAAAATTAGGTAAACATAGGAAAACGTGAAAATTATTTAACAACAAAACTAAATCTGTGGTGCCCTGAAGGTCAGGATTTCTTACCCATCTCTGCTCACCTTCAAACTTTCTGTAGACCACGACAGGCTAACATTGCTTTCCTCAGCTTTACGATGAATATTCTGGAGTCTTCTCTGCACTTCTTGTTCAATAAAAGCACTTACCCTTCAGGGTATAGAAAAGTTTAAAAAATATACCCTTAGATAAAAATCAAGACAGACTAAAGGGCTCTTTGAAATGCTTATGAACTCCTAAGTACTCCACAACTCCAAAATGGCAGGCTTAATGTTAGACCAGTTTTATCCCTTCTTAAGGAACATGTACTTTTGAGCAAGTGTTCATTTAACAGGTAAAGGTTAGCAATTTGTTATCACAGTTATACAATTTAATAGACCACAGGTTAAGGCACTGCTATGCGTACAGTTCTACATACAAGTGGCACTGAGTGTAAGAGAGATGAAGAAGAAAGAGAAGGCTGGGGTTGCATCTTTAGTTACTTAATTGTTTGCTTTTATTACTTTTGCAATATTGGCAACTCAGGCTAACAAAGGTTTGGTCCTTAAACAGAAAGAATATTCCAGGAGTTGATATTAACAACTGCATGTGTAAGTGTAAAAAGGGCAGAAAGGAAATATATTCTAAGTCATACCAGGCAGCTGCTCTATTCAAAAAGGCTTAAGATAATTTCATTTACTTTGTTGCTTTAAGAGCAAAGAGTATATTAAACAGTATCATGTAGACAAGTAACTGTAAACACTAAAACAATTGAAATACATTTAAGCCTACAATTTCACAAACCTCTATTCTAAAACAAACCACACAGGAGCAACAGATCAGTCTGTTGGTTATTTAAAGTAAAATACAGCAAATTAACTTTATTTCCACTTAATCACAATCCAACCCCAGCAGAACATCTTTCAATATATTTCTTTTCTAAAGCTATTATTTGCATTCATATTGCAGAAATGCAGGTTACCTACCTATCATCAACTAGCGGACCAGTGGGCAGCTGAGGCTTTGATGGGCTGGTAGGCGAAGTGGTATGAGAGAGTCTCTCTTCTAATGTTCCGTGATTTCCTTTCTGACGACCATCACCCTCATATATTTTTTGCTTCAGCTGCTGAATTTCCTGGTCCAGACTATAAATAGATCTTAAAATGTAATTCACTTTTTTTTAGAGTTGATTCCCATAGTTCTTATGGGATGTACTGTACTTACACTGGGATACATGTATGTAAGACTGTACGTATTAATATCTATGAAGATATAAAAATCATAACTGTTCTTTAAGCATATTTAGATAGGAAAATAGAGATAGCTTAAAATGACATTACAGCAGCAGTTGGACTAGATAATCTTTAAAGTTCCCTTCCAACCCAGTACATTCTACGATTCTATGAATTTCAGTAACTTCCAACACAAAGGTATCTAACAGCACATTAAATATTAATTCACAAGACTCCAACTTATCTATTAGGATAACCTGAATAAACCTTCCTTACTACAGAACTCTTATCCATGACCTCAGTTACTAGCTTCCAGTGTGAAATAAATGAGTAAATGGAGGGGGAAAAGTTTAAAAACTCAAAATACAGAACTAATCCAAAAAACCAAAGATAACCTAAAACAGTGATGGGGCAAATCACATCTATAAGAAAATCTTTAAATTGTGTACTATACATATAAATCTTATATTCCAGTCATTCCTTCTGTGTGTGTGTGTGTGTGTGTGTATATA